TAGATAACAGTCTTTTTTCTGAGTTGAGGTTCACCAGTATTTCAAGATGATGCTTTGCAGTGTACCTCACGTTGCCTTGTAATTTATTGTGTAATAAAAATGTCTAAATTCATGCTGCAGATTGGGGGGCAAATCAGAGTAAAAATCATTATTTCTGTTGAGTTTCCTGTCTGAAAGACTTGAACAGCTGGTCAGCTAATAGAGGGAGTTTAAATTAGACAGTTCAGTTTAGATGGGATGGAACAAGAACAGTGTCTTAAGAAATTTGAATTCCAAGGGAATGTGGGTTGAACTGTAGAGAAAACAGGAGAAGATGGAAAGGAAGTGGGAATTAACATCTCTTTAACATCTCTTTTCTTGGGAAAGGTAGGAAGGGAAGCCCCTATTTGGAAAAATAAACAATCAGAAACAATTGAAATGGCAGTCAAATTGTGATTTTGTGAGGAAATTGGTGGGACGGTATGTGCAGTGCTGCTGTGAATCCGTTTTTGGTTCAAAGACCATGTTTGAGATCAGGAGCTTGTAAAGCTTGGCTGATTGAAAGGGCAGGGTGGCTTTCAGCATCTAGGAAAAGCAGCTGAACTAGAAGCTCGCATTTTGCAGACTGTTACAATGTAATACCAAGTGTAGCTTTGTGACATTCTGCAAAGGCAGATACATTAAAAAAATCTGCATCCTCTTCCCTTCTCGGTTGACCCCTGTTTCTGTGGCTCTTGGACAAACTAAAAACTTTTTCCATAGATGAAGAAAATAGCATCTTCTTAAGTCCTGGTGGAAACAGACCAAGACATAATGTGAAGATTAATTGATGCATTCATCTGATACCTGGAGAAGTGGGTAAATGACCTGGGTATATCAGTGGGCAACAGTATTTCTCTCCACACTAGATTATAGTTCACATGTACTCAAGAATACTTTAAACTGCATTTCCATCTGCATTGTTTCATCCTGTCAGTTTAGTTACTCTTCTCTGAAACAATTTAAACAAATCTCTTGCTTATTGGTTTTGTTTGCCAAATACACTCAATCTTGTTCCATGTTGTAGCCAGCTCTGGGCTTTCTATGACTATGAAATACTACCATTGGATCAGAATTATTCACCAAGATCCCAATTTCGATCTTGGAAAAGCCAAACCTAAACCAAATTGAGCACACTAGACAGGAAGCAGAGCTTGAACACAATATATGTTTTTCAGAATCTGTTGGCAGTTTGAAACAATATCTTTGTCTAAAATTCCCCTTGATACTTACCTAGCTAGAACTAAGTATTGAATTTAAAAGTAAGGGCATATAGAAATTTGAAAGTGTGGAAATAAAAGACTAATGAAGAACACGTAACCTTTATTTAGCCTGTGTTTAATTGGTAGAAGACAAAAGTTGCCTCAAATTTGCTAGTGTTTGCATCAGCTTGTCATGACTTCAGGGATTATATAAATTCTTTTAGGCCTCTTTTTTCACAGAGTTTATGTAAATTCTCTCAGTTCAGAGGCTGAATTAGAATAGAGCACATCTAGAAGAACACTGTGGAGAAATGTAGTCTCTGGTATCTATGTGAATTTTCATAATCTCAAATACCATTGCATTGGAGAACACTTAATCTCTAGCTCTTCTCCATGGTTTGCCCTTACAACAGCTTCATGAGTGGCCCCCCTCCTCCTTCCAAAAAATACTGGAGGAATTTTAACCCTATCTCTTGAAATAATGTAAAAACCTACTTGGAGAGCAACAGACTCATTGGTTCTGAGGACCTCATTTAAGGCAGTCACATTCATTGTGGGTTTTGATGCAGTTCACTCTCTGCTATACTACTCCTGGTGAGGCTATTTAAGCACTTTATCTATTGATATTTCTTGTAATTGTGTTTTGTTTAAAGTATAGTCTACATGGATAAGTATTTAAAAGTCCTGTCTATAAATTGCCAGTTTATGTTGTACTTTCCTGTGTGCCAGGAGTAGAAGATAGTCCTCCTGATGAATAACTAAAGCAATAGCTACATTTTGTGTCTTACCAAATAACCAGAAAGCACAGCACAAAATAAAAGCCATAGTACTACTTTGTCTTCATTTCAGTTTTGCATTTTTTAGAATAATGTTATAAACTATTGTGTATCTATGCAAATTGTTGTCTTCTCCAGTATCCTCAACTGTTAGGTATGTTTTGTCTGCCCTGCTTTTTTTTATCACCAAGTAAGTTTCCCAGTTATGCATCTATCTTTATAGAACTATTATAAGTCTCTGTGCTGCTGCAGTAATGGTGGTGATTGGGAGAAACTGGGAATAGAGAGATACTAATGAAAAAGTGGAAGGAACTCATGACAAAAGTTTGTAAAGTGGAACAGATACTGCATAGAAGGTAGAAAGTCATGGATACTGGCATGCAGTGATAGACTTTTGGACATGCTTCTACTCTTACGTGTATCTCTATTATTAGAGTGTGACTTTGGGAGGTCAGTGTAATAAGAGAAATCATATGGAATGTTTGACTTCAGTAGTGGAGTTGGGTCTGGGAAGCACAGATCCATACCCTAATTTGTTCCATTCATCTTTGCATATATCTTTTGAAGTATATGTATGCAGTCTTAACTCTATTCAGCTACTGGCTTTGCAGCTACACCATATGCCACTGTCTAATGTTAGGGAGATCATAATGAAATTACCTTCTTAAAATGTTGTGTTATTTTATTAACACTACTTTAATTGTTATTTTAAATAAAGCAAGAATTTAGACAGTGTACATTTTGTGCTACATTTGATTGGTAAAAGAATTTTGAGTATAATGTGTAACACACAGTTCTAAAGAGCTGGTTGGAGATTTGCATTGGTCTGTGCTGGCAGCCTTGCTGTATTTAAATTCCTATTATGTGCCCTTTTGTGCAAGAGTGAATCAGGCTTCTGCTTTTTTCTAAAGTTGCTCCAAAATGTATTAGTATACTTAGCAGTTATTTGACAGATAATTCTATAAATTTTGTTTTATAGTGGTTTAATATTTGCTTATATAAAATCAATTTTATATATAACATACAGATAATAAAGTTGTTTTTTAGCCAAGTCTCAGAAAAGAGCTTAATTTGGTAGCAAAGGTAGTTTGGTGGCTCATGCAAAAGACCAGAAATTGCCACAGGTTTTCTAGGTCTTCACATGAAAGATATTTATTATGGTGCTGTCTGAAGTTGTGAACTTGTGATGGTAACAGCAAAGGTGTGCAGGTGACTTTGGGCAAGCTTATCACAGTAGTGCCACGTGTGTAAAAAATCATCAGATATGACTGTGCTTGCTTCTGGATTCCCACAGCTCAGAGCCTATCCCATTCATGCAAACTTAATTTCTGACTCTGACTTTTGCAGCCAAACCAGATAAATATTCTAGACGTCCCTGGTTTTGACCTGGAGTTCTCTTCCCAATGCAGTGATTTCCTAGAGAATTACTTTAACTGTGGTTACATCAGTGATGTAGAGTTCAGGACAGTCCTGCATATGGTTATATGTGTGCAAAAGAAAGGCAAACTGCTGCTGGGGATGACTGGGCTGAGACTCTGTTAGCATCAAGCAAATTTTTGTGTAGCAATATCCTTTAAACAGATGAATACTAGAGATGATTTTGAAGGTAGACCAGGTAACTATTACTCTTTACATATTTTGTTATTGGTTTCTTTCCTGATCTCTACTGGGACAGGATACTCTTCATCATATGACCCAGCACAGTTTTTCTTATGTTTTATCAGGTAATCTGCAGCTTTCTCTTCATTACAAAGATATGATGGCTGATGCACTGACTCCCAGAAAGAACTTAAGAGTGGCCACAATGCTCAGTTAAACTTTCAGTGTTCAAGGATAAAAGTCTACATGATAATTGGGTTAGTTTTGCTGGAAAAGCAGTCTCTTGAATGTGTCCAGAAAGATAGACAGATGTTAGTTTGAAGCTTAAAACAAACAAACAATCCAAACCCTACATTATGTTTGTTTGCTTATTAATTTGTGCTAGTGGCTAATGATTTTCACAGAAAAAAATGCAAAGTAAACTATTCTGCTGAACCAAAGAAGGGGCTGGGTTCAGCATTCTAAAATGATACATACAAACTGTCTTTTTTTGGAATCCAGACTTGGAGTCCACTGGGAATGCACAATAGTGTTTGAGGGGAAGATGTTCCTATTAAAATGTAAATTTGTTAAAACAGTTGTTGTTATGACACTGTAATTAATTCTTGGATTAGATTGAATGAATGCTCTGCAGGAAGAGGTTGCACATACTTGCAAATGTCCATCCTGTAAGGAATAATTAGGAGGCCTTTTTGCATACAGAAAACTGCTAAGACCTATTTTGACTACTGGTATATCGAAACACTGATGTGGCTAATCTGTTGCTTATCTCTGTCTAATGCTGAATAACATTCTTCCCTAAATGTTTTCTATGTATTGTGTAGAAGACATAAATTTCAGGTGAAAAGAGGGAATGGAACAAAACCATTAATTTATTTGTTTTCCTTAGATATCTTGGTCTTTCTCAGGTGCACACCTTTTATTAGATTGATTTCTCACATTACGTATCTCTGTGCATACTAAAACCTTCTGAAGACCACTGAGGAAGGCTGTTGCTACTACATGTGACACTAATTCAGAAATGCTGTGGAAACAGAAATGGCTACTCAGGATCACTTGAAACGTGTGTTTACATTTTCTTCAACCTCTGTCCAACTTCTTGTTCCTCAGTTTTTCCCAAGTTTTAAGCAAGCAATATTCTCCTGGTGACAGCATTCCTCACCAAAAACAGTTCAAACTTAAGCTATAACAAAGGATTATAGTTTATCTTCAACTTTTGAATGTATAGTAAGATAAACTTTTAAATACAGGTTACAAGGGCACAGAAGCAATGTCAGAATGCACTTAAGGATGTTGACTTTTGACTGGCGTAGTGCTCTCAAGAATAAAAAGATTTGATCATTATGGTTTCCTTTCTGTCTGTTTAATGGGCTACTTACAGATCTGTCTTTGTTCTTTTCCCCAGATATTAGGATTAAAGAAGAGGATCCTGATCCAGAAGAGTGGCAGCTCAGTGGTGATTCTACACTGAATACTAATGATCTAACACATTTGAGAGTGCAGGTTGTAGATGAGGAAGGGGACCAACCACATCAGGAGGGAAAAAGACTGCGACGAGTAGCATGTACATGTCCCAACTGCAAAGAAGGTGGTGGGAGGTATGTAAAGTTCACTGTCATATCACACATGTAATGATGAAAAATGGATAATGGGCAAGGAAAAAATGAACTTTTGTTAACAGCAGTTGTCTGCAGTGAGAGGAAACTACAGGCTTATGCAAAGGAGTTTATGCAATAAAGGACTACCACTTCCATTTTGGGATTTGAAGATGAAAAAGCAGATTATTCCACCCTTTCTGAGTTATTCCTTTGAGATTATTTTAAAAAATGTGGAGTTAGATGTCGCCTAGTACAAGTGAGGAGGATAGAATGTTGCCCTAAAAATATGAAAATGAAATATTTTGGAATATGCATATCTGTGATTGGCTTCCTATCATATGTCAAGAACTTGATTAAATCCTGTGTTCCTGCATTTCCTCGGTGATTGAGCAGTTTTCCACAGTTTAATTGCTTAGAGTGTTACAAAAATACGGTTTTCCTAGTCTTCTTATTCACTGGTTTCCTAGGAAAACAATATAAGATTTGTATAATATTTCTAAATAACAAATTTTGAACTGTTTTCAGTCAAAACTAGTGAAATTTGACTAACAAAGAGGTACTAAGCTCCAATTCATTAAACTTCAGTGTTGCATTGGAACCTACACTTTATTATTGTGCATCTCATTAAAATATTACTATTTTTTTTTGTTCTGAAGATTGTATTCTACTTCCAAACACTTAATTTTGAATGCCTTGTTAATGGATATGAAAGGGGAAGGGTAATAAGCTGCCTTTTACAAGTGAAAATATTTAGTTGTGTTTGTTCTTGAGAGAATTGTGCAGGGGCTTCTTTTCAATATGCTAAAATTTGTCCATTTTGATAACAGTTTCTAAAATGGAGATCTTTATTTATTTGGGAACTATAGTGTAAATCACTAAAATGTCTTTAAAGAACCCATCAGTGTCCAGTGGCACTAAGAGTTCTAATAGCACTGGCTGACTTATTTCTCTTACCAAGTCTCTTGTCAGTTCTTGGTGCATATTCTAGATGCCTGCCTTGCAAGCACAGGGAGGTAATATCTCAGGCAGCCATGCCAAGTAAGTATTAAGTGTGTTGAAGAGAAAAAGACTCTGATACATTTACATCACTAGCAAAGGTGGTGATGATATCTGCATGTTATCCAGCATCTTTGTCCATCAGATTCCTCTTGTTAAATTTCTATGTCTAGTTCACTGCAACATGGCACAGACATTTCTAAGTTCTTGGTGAACTCTGGCTCTGCTATGAAAATCTGCCCAAAGTATATCCTGGATTGAGATTTGTTTCATTTCAGGAGAAAACTCTGAAAATGTGATTGGCACTGCATGTACTCTTAGAAAACAGAGATTCAAGGTGTTAAATCTTCCTTGTGCTCTATTCCAAACTACAATGGTTTAATTTAGAAATCTGTAATGTAAAATCCTTGTCCTTCTGAGTGGAGTTGCTATGAAATGAAATTTTCATGTTTCAGCCCAAGAGAGAATCTTTTTGAGAGATGGTTTGGGAAGTCTGGAGAAGGGTGTAGTCTGGCTGAAAACTCAGATATGCGATTTTTGGGAAAGAGTTGAGATAAGAGCTACAACAGAGTTAAGATAGATGAGAATCTGAAATTCCCTGTAAAGAAGGGCCTGGACACATCAAACATACAAAGTAACTAGGAAAAAGTAGGACAAGAAGTCAGGATGTGAGAAGAATTAGAACTGGAAGAGAAACGGGATAATGAAGGAGACAATGATGGGGAAACAGAAAAGAGTGCAAGTGCTTACAGTTGCTAAAGCAACTTTCCCACCAGAATGCAGAATTCCTTTAGAGTTTAGGAGAAAGGAATAAGCCCACTTGAAAGAATATTTGAGTGTTAATGTTCCATAGCTGCTAGAGTTACCTTTTTATCCCTAGTGCTGGAATTCTGAGTTTTGATTAGTCTTTTAACTCTGCTGATGATTTGCAGAGTTTCAGATGATAAGACATTTGCTTTTGTAAATTCTTTCAGATAGCATTCATAATTCTTAAAATGATGTTAAAGTTGCAAAATTTAAAATCGGGCAAATGCTTAGTTAATATATTCTGGGCAACTTTAACGTAATTCCTTGTGCATATACATCATCACTTGGTTTCTAATTACTTGACTGCATACTATTTTTTTTATATGGCATCAGTGCCATTTGATGGATGGGATGGCTGATACACAGGGAATTAATCAGGGCTGTGTGATGATTGTCACCTGCTTCACTTATTGCAGCAATTGGGAGGTGTTTAGGGAACGAGACACAGGACTGCAGCAACAGTGCCCTGAAACTTTGGAGGTGTAGGTCTATATACCCCATCTTTACCTCTGCAGAAGTACTGAGTTCATTCCCGTGAGGAACTTGATTGAGCAGACTGTGAACATCTAGAGTACTCAGGGAAAATATGCTTCTAGTACATTAACCTTGACACTTCAGGCTGGTGGGTGTTTGACAATTTTGGCCTTAATCTCTTTCTCCCTCCTACCTGGAGATACAAAGTGATTGTACCAGTTCAGGTTCACCATACCAAAACATTAAGATGATAAAACCATTAATATTTGTGAGCTGCTTAGAGACTGTGAGTGAATGTTGTCAATACCTATGATGAGGCAAAAAAAGCCCTGGAGAAATGAATAATTTTGTACTTAACGTAGTACAGAAATAACAAGTAACTACTAAAACAAGGAAAGTACTTTAAATCAGTGTGAAAAACTGAATAATGTTTCACTCAATTAAAACTGAGCTCCTGTGCTCTGAATGGAGAAGGAAAATGGCTTCACATATGCAGACTTCTTCATAATTTCATCTATCATATAGTGTTGCTTTTAGTATTTCTTGCTGCATTTTCTGTTTTCTGGATTCAGAGGCGAGTTGAGAAGTTCTTTCTGGTTTTTGTTGTTGGCTTTTGGAATTGAACTACATTGCAATCTTCAGATTTGTACCAGTTTTGTGAAGTGGGAAGCCGCTATTATCTTTGCCTTACTTGGTGGGAGGGAAAGTAGGAAAGGAAGATGATGTATTAGATTTGTTAATTAACACCTTTTAGCCCGAAGCTTATATAATAAATGGGGAATAAGCAAGTGGACAGAGAGATACACATGCCTCAAAGGATGACTCTGTTTCCAAACAGAATGTATTAGGCTTATAGTTAAGGTGTCTGAAGTTAAGTAGAAAGTTTAGTCTCCTCTCAGTTACACCTAGAGATTTCACCCTCCTAACAATTACATCTGGAACTACATTGAGATATAACTAGTACTGTCTGGTATATAGGGGAGCTGTGCTTCTGAGTACCACTGCAGGTGCGTAACCCTAAAAACCACATTCTTCAAATAATTAAGAAGTGTGTGGATTGTCCTTGAAATACTTAATGTTATTGCTGGAAATACTGCTGAATATAAAGTCCAGTTTCCAGTGGATGAAGGTGTTTCCTGCTGAAACTGTGGCAGTCTGCCTGGTTATTGAGAAACGTCATATCCAATCTTCGCAAAGCTAAAATGTACTGTGGAAATACTTCAATATAAATATTAATATTTAGACTCCACTCAAGGAGTAGGCTGGAGTCATATACATCTATTCAGTGATGATGGCTATTGGCCAGTGCAGCAAGATGGGCTCTTAGCATCATGTGTTAGGGCATAGTGCCAGACTGTCACAGCTGCAGAGTGTCCAGATAGAATTTGGCTTGTATCCTGTTAGTTTAGAGCACACATGAAACAAACATGCTGGTGCCCATATGAAGTTGTATAGAGTAAACACACTTAGTTGCTAATTCACAGTAATCTTGTGAGTTTCATTTTGTGGATCCTTAACTTCCCCCTCACTTGGAAGTTGGGCGCGTGCTAAGGAATTCTGTCAGCAGTTAGATGAGGTGCTTGGAACTGCGTGTTCTGTATCACCTGTGCACAGTAATGACTGCGAGTTAAACCTTGGTTTCCTTCAGTCTAGACTAGAGGTGCAATGAAGAAATTTCAAACGATTGACATAGGAATATTAACATTATTCTGAGGGAATTTTGATGTGACTTCATCCAATTCGTGTACTATATCATGCCAAGTTATAAAATACTTGTACTAATTACTGTGGAAGGGAAGACATTGGAGTTTATTTGGAGAACATGTGAGGGTAAAGTCCTTAGATGATTCTCCTGCTGCAACAGGATCAAAAGCCTTCTGGACTCTGCTTCTGCTTCCATTGAATTAGTTCTGAAATCAAAACTTGTATTTGTCATGACAAATAATTAGTAGGTGCAGGTGATGTTTTTATCTTCTGAGACAAAATGACTAATGAAGCACTATGAAGATTGCTCTATATTGAGAATTCATAGAAATGTTTCCAAGGACTTAAAGGGATTTTTTTCTCCTTACTTTTCTGGACTGTCTGTAATGTTTTAGGTACATATGTGATTAGGTTGAAATCCCCCTTTAGACACTGTGAGGTTTTAGAGTGAGTTCATTTTTGTGCATGTTCAGAAATGCCTGTGGCAATTGCTAGCTCCTTGAAGCGTGTATGCACTTTAACCTGAACCTTTGTTAGATGTAAACCAGAAGCTAAAACACCCAGTTTAAAGAAAAAGCTTGCCATGGGGTGACAGCTGAAAATTGTATAATCAGTCATGGACAATGGAGCACCCAAGACTGATTTCAGAATCTACTTAAGGTGTTCTAAGTTAATGTTGCTCATGAAAAAGGTGGCATGATGCCTGGCTGCATTTTCCAATCTCCTCCCTTGTACCAGCATTTTCCATTCATATAGCTGTGTTGTCAGCCAGACCTATTCCCTCAAGTGCCCCTTTCTGCAGTAGCACTTAAATTGGCGAAAATCAATCATGATACCCTGCACCGGCCAGACTGATCTCTTTCTCTGGGTCTATCTCTTGTGATTTGATTAAAAAAAAAATAGTCTAGGTATCAGGTGCTTCCCCTGATCACCTGCCATTTCGGTGAGGCAGCATCTTAAAATAAGCATCAAGTTTACTCTGGATTATATGATCTGTGAATTCTGTGTACGTTGTGATGGATTTCTTTTTTTTAACTGAAAAACCAAGGAATTCATTTAAATGTCAGCAAGATCAGCTTCCATTTCTTTTAGTGAAAGCATTCAGGTTAGTATGCTTGTCTTCAAATCTCAGACTGATTCTCAGGTTTCCCCAAGATGCCAAAAGTCCCATCTGTTCTCTACCCAGCTGCCAAAATCTCCAGTGTCCGTTTTGGCAGTTGCAGTAATTTGTGTTTTTCTTTGCCAAAACTATCTTTGATATGGTAAAAGCCTGAAACTCTGAGAAATGTAAAATATGGACACTTCAACATCAAAGTGGTACAAACTACTGTTTCCATCTTCACATACATGTATGCTTCTTAGAGATTATGCTGCTGTCACATACATTTCACACACAACTGAATTTATAGTTTTCTGTGGATCTGGGATAGCATTACAGAATTTATTTCCAGCTCCTTATGGAGTGTTCTGGAATCCAGTTTGTATTTGAAACAAGAACATGAAGTTGCTCAGGTTGGTTTGCAGATTTGTTGTGGTATGTGTAGCCTCATGTATGTATATGACCAGTATTTAGGAGGAATGTATTAGAATTAATAACCTCTCTCTGTTTTTTTTCTGTTTTAAACAGAGGCTCCAACTTGGGAAAAAAGAAGCAACACATTTGTCACATACCAGGATGTGGCAAAGTATATGGGAAGACGTCACATTTGAGAGCTCATCTCCGCTGGCATTCTGGAGAGCGTCCATTTGTTTGTAATTGGATGTTCTGTGGCAAAAGGTTCACTCGCAGCGATGAGCTCCAGCGACACCGAAGAACGCACACAGGTTTCCAGTCTTTGATTCTGGTGTATTTAACTAAAGGAGTGCTATGGACTGGGCTAGGATAAATAACTTTTAAGAGGAGAACAGATCTTTGAATTGGATTGATTTTAAGGCAATGTGATTTTTCTAAAATCAGCTAAATCTTATCTATACACTTCGGAATCTTTGGTAGGTCTGAGGAGATAAAACACACACCTCTTGATTCAGAACTGACATTTAAGCTAATGTTTAACATAGCTTAATCAGAATACTTTGATTCAGGCTCAGCAATGCATTTCATTTGTTTGAACCAGATTATAACTCTTTTTCTATCTTAAAACTTCAGTAAGAAAAAAAGGGCTAGGTGGCCTGGGGATTAGATATCACTCCTAAAATCAAAGAAGAGCATGTGATGGTGCATCATTCTACACCTTTTAGTTTCATGGTTAGACCACCAATTAGGAACTTCAGGTTCACATTTCCCCTTCTATCTAATACAAAGAAAAGAAATTAATGTAGATATTCCACCTTATTAAGGAGCAGTTAGTTTAAAATCTGTTGTCTGTTTTATCTGTTTTCTGACAAACTGCATTCATATTTGCATTCAACAGGATGTTTACCTTTTAAAATCATAGTATTTGAAAAATCCATAGATAAATATTTTTTGTGTTTATCAGCATTTACATTGCTTAGAAAAGTGTCTTTGGATGTCTGTGAAAAATATTCCATGTTGTTAATGGTGTGCTTTTGTGTAGGCATTTTGGATGTTAAATCCAAGCTGGGCCGTTACAGTTTGTCTGGATGGACAGGCTGATGGTTTTTTAAAAAAAAAGGCATGTTGAATGATCCAGTTCAGAGGGTGTGGCTAATAGCTCCTAGTGTACCTGCCTACCAGTAAAAAGTAGAGAACTGCAGGGATCTATCCTTTGGCCTCTTGTAAGATTTTTATCATTGACCTGGAGGAATCAACAGAATTCCTCTGTTAACCTTCTTAGGTTTGTGGATGACCCCAAACGGGGGTGACCAGTCAATGCACTTGATGGCAAGACTATTGAGAGGGATGGAGGCTGGAGGAATGGGTTAACAGGAATCCTAGGAAATTCAGCAAGAATCGTTACAAAGTACTGCACCTGGGGTGGAATGAACACTTAGGATAACACAGGCTAAGCATGTAGAGGTTGGAAACAGCTCTTCTGAAAAGTACCCAGGTGTCTTGATAGACAAGTGGAACATGGTCAAAGACCAGCAGCAACGATCCCCAGAGCTGTATTAACAGAAGCAAGAGCCCTGATCACAGGGATTATTCCCTACTTCTGGTTAGACTGCATCTAGAATATGGCATCTAGTTTTCAGCCATTGATGACAGGATTGAGTTCACTAACGAGTGACCAGGATGATGAGGAAGCTGGAACATTTGCCTTATGAGGAAAGACTGTAGGATTCAGATGCACAAAGAGAACAGTAATGGCAGGGGGGAGCTTCGTAGTAATTCTCTAGTTACCTGCAAAGGCCATCCTTAAGAAGGCGGTTACTTTCCCTGATGATGGTGCATTGGTTGAAGAATAATAGACAGCAGATGTATGTTGAAATAAGAAGGGTTCAGAACAGCTATAAATAAAAGCTTTTTAATTGTGGGGATAAGCCAGGCACTGGAAGAGGATGCCTATAGAGTTCCTGCAGTCTCCATCCTTAAAGGTTGTCAAGAAAACTGGATAAATTCCTCAGCAACCAGATCCGATCTCATAGGTGACTGCTTAGAAAGAGATCAGAACACAGACATTCAGAGGTCCTTTCAAACCTGAATTACCCTATGAGCTTGTGTGTCGGTCTCAAGTGTGATTCTGCTATAGGTCATACAGTCTTCTCTGTCCATCATTTGGTAGGTTTTGTTCTCCTTCTAGAAGTTATTTGTTAGTAATAATTGCAGTGAAACTTAGCAGCCTGAGAATATGAGATGGCTATATTCTCTAGCATGCCTGAAAGATCTCCCCAAACTCTGTGACACACAGAAAATTAAATCAGTTCTTACATAAATTGAATGGGATTTGTATGGGTGTCAAGAAATGTAACACACAAGTTTATCGTTCAATCGCTTTCTTCCTCAGTATAATTCTTGTTAGAATTCTGACTCTAAAAAGCATTAAGTTTAATTTTTAGTGTTCTTGAATATTTTTTTCCTTCTTTGACAGGTGAGAAGAAATTTGTCTGTCCAGAATGTTCAAAACGCTTTATGAGAAGTGACCATCTTGCCAAACACATTAAAACGCATCAGAATAAAAAAGGTATTCACTCTAGCAGTACAGTGCTGGCATCAGTAGAAGCAACATCTGATGATACTTTGATTACTGCAGGAGGAACGACACTTATCCTTGCAAATATTCAACAAGGTTCTGTTTCAGGAATAGGAACTGTTAATACATCTGGCACCAGCAATCAGGATATTCTTACCAACACTGAAATACCTTTACAGCTTGTCACAGTTTCGGGAAACGAGACAATGGAGTAAATATTACACAAGATACCTATTAATTGTGGTTATTTTTATACAGTAGTGAGAAGAATATTGTTCCTAAGTTCTTAGATATCTTTTTATTGATGTGCAAAAATTTTTGGATTGACAGTAACTTGGTTATACATGACACTGAAATGCCTTACTTTGTATGATATTCCATAGTATATTAAAATGGTAAAATTGCATGGGTTTTGTAGGTACTTTTGGAATCTAGAAGAGAAGAAATTTTACCAAGTTATATTAAAAAAACAAAAAAAAAGAATTTAACGATGGAAATGGTAGTCTAACCAAATGCATCAATCCTGTGTGGTTTAGTGTAAAAAAAAATGAGAACATGTTGGTATTTATCTATTGTAAGATAAAAGAAGTTGATGGGTGAAAAGAAATCACATTATGATAAAAGAAATTTTGTAATTTTCTTGATGACTGGAATTTTTATTATGCATAACTGACAAATCAAGTTTCCAAGCAAATGTTACATAGTGTAGGCTTTACTTAGCTCATCAACTTGTCATTTTGAAGCTAATTATTTTAATTAGGTTAACTATGTACAATATTTTAAGCATTACTCTTGTAAGATTTTGCAAACTACATTTTAACATGGAACTCTAGGGATAGTCACCTTTTAAATCCTATTGAAAAGCCATGTTTAAGATTTAATTTGCCAAAATGATGTCTTGTTAATATTCTTTCAATAACCAAGGTGGGCAATATAACCAATGTTTAAAAAGCTTAAAATGTTAAGAAAAATAAATATGTATAGGTTGAAGCATTTGGGTGGTAAGGCAGATGTTATAGTGAAGTATATCCCTTCTTTTGAACATTGGAGGACCAAAAATAAGGTGTATTGCGTCTCAGCAGTGATTTTTATCTAATCTTTTTCCAAAAAAACCATCTGTATGCCAGGGCCTTAAAAGCCATCATGTAAATTACCAGTAAAATATAACATATGCAAATACAAAAGAAAAATCACTTCCATATTGACAGTACTCCCAAACATATGGATATAGTCATAGTGAACTAGGGGGGTTATGAGGTTTTTGTTTGTTTGTTGTTTAGTTTTTGGTTAGTCAATCTGCATTTAAATATCAGCCATCTTTCCTTTTTTGCTTCTTCCCTTAAAAATTGTATGTATCCAGTACATTTAACTGATAAACATATATGTTTTTTATTATGCTGAATTTTCTTTTTATTTTTTAATTACTGTTTATATTTTCAATTATAGAAAATGTACAAAATGAAGTTATATAGCCAGTCTGTAAGTGCTATACCATTTTCAAAAAATGTACAACAATAATTACTGCAGTTCACCTATTTACAAACATTTGGAAATCTGTTCATTTGTTATTCTTAAAACCACCTCAAATTTAAAGGCTACCTTATTGTACGTTTAAAGTGTATTATAACAGTGTGGTAGTTAATAAAACACTATTTTTTTTTCTTTTGACTTGAGTTTACTGTGCTTCTTGTTAACTAACAAGGTGTAATTTCATAATATGTCTTGATAGCCTGAGATGTTTTATTATTTTTGCAGTAGATGGTGGGAAGCAGAAACGTGTTTTCTTTCCCTCTGGACACAGAGATGGTAATTTTCCACCTCCTCGCTCACAAACCCCCATCTGTATGTGCGTGGACACGAATGTGCTGTGTTGGTGTTGTGGGGATGTTTTGCTCTCATGTTGAGCAGGGCATGAAGAATATGGGGGTAGGCCCCATCCTATAGGCTGTGTTTAAGTCCTCTGGCACATGCACAATACATGGAGTATTAATAAGGAGCTGTGACTAAGAACTATGAGATTAAAGAGAGTAATGGTTGTATATAATGCTCTAATGAAAATGAAAAGCTTTTATTTGTGAGGTCTAAAGTGTTGGAGTATCAAATGACAGAGGACAGACCAGGATAATTTAGGATAAACCAGGCACAGTTCAGCCTAGAAAAATGAGAACTGGAAGTCACGTAGGAAAGATTTTCTGAATTTGCAGTTAGGTGGAAAAAAAATTAATGCAAATCTTCTAGAGATTCAGAGCAACAGGAATTGACAGGTACAAAGAAAAGGGAGTTAATTCAGCATCAGTTTAATTGTCTGTTTAATAAAATGAAAAGATGAAATTGGTTGAGATGAGAGCAGCAGCTTGAGGAAAGACAGTTCTGCTTAGACTTGCAGTGTTCCATGGATGTTGTCAATATATTAACATGCTCTGAATCTGCTTCCTTTAGGTAGGTGAATGGGCTTGGTTTTCAAAAGCTGTAGTGTACAGAGCATATTAGTATGTTTCTAATACTTAGGTTTTGTTTCTCATCTCTTAGCCATCAGTAACTGTATTAATGCATTATTTTAAGTGGGAGGGAAGAGGGCTATTTCCTTACTCAAATGCTTTTCACAAGTTTCATGGAATGACACTTTCACTGATGTTCATCTGTGGAAGTGTTGGTGTCAAGGGTTTTGATGTCTCATTGCTGAAGATGAGATTGCTTTATTTCTCAGAGCTTTTATGTTCAGTACATCAAGTGGTTACTTTAATTAGTGTTTAGGTGGCACATTTTATAAAAAGATATGCCGTTGTTAAGCTTCAGAAGGTAGATGTTTTCTAAGAAACTAACTCTGGAAGTCTCATGGAAAGCCTGCAGGCAAAGGGCCTAATGGCTCACAGCCATAGTGTTTGTGTTGTGGGATAGTATTTTCCGAAAGCTCCCTGCTCACCTCCAGGGCAAAGATTCACAAGCCCAAGATCTTCGGTGTATCAAAGATTGTTGCTACCTCATGGCCTGTTTTCTGGCCCTCTAGGCATTCATGTGATGCCAAGACAAAAGTGTGCATTTTGTAGAATACTTTCCAGTTCTTCGTGGGTTCCTGACAATGGTTGCTTGATTTGCTTCTTACAGGTACAGTCTGTATCATTTTATATTTTACATACTTATTTTCATGTCAGGCTTCTCACTTGTATGTTTTCTTGGTAAGGTAGCCTTTAGATCCTTGGTTGGTTTTTATCTCTTACAGTCTTCTGTAATCACTAATTAACAAGACCTTAAAACTGGGTCTGCAAGAGACCATGAGTTTGAGAGCATCCTGTGTTACCAATTTCAGTGGTTCAACTTTCAGTAAGTACCAGTCCTGTACATACACTTGCTATAATCTCAGTATTGTGTTCATTTCTGAATGAACTAATGGTTTGATCCTTCCAAGTTGCAAACTAACACTGATTCTTGCAGAAAACAAGAGCTTTTAATCATTGTTAATTACCAGGTCAAGGAGCAATATGACTAAGCACAATAGCATCATCACAGAAAGGCTTGTGAGGAGCCACATTTCTGGTCTGATTATGCAGATTCTGTTTTGGCAAGGGACTCTGCAGAGTACTTTTTTGGGCTTGTCTGAGAAAGAAATAGGCCTTAGTTTTAGGCATTTTGAGCAGCAGGAATCAGGAAGATAAGCCTTGCCAATGGCTTCAGGAAAGCTCTGATATGTTCTCTCAAAGTTGTTCTGGGTGTTGGGGAATGAAGGAATGGAGCTAATAGTCACCTGTCAAGTGTGGTTCTTGGCTTCTTTAAGTGAAGAACTAATGAGCAGCTGGCTGTCTTTTCTCCAGATTTTTACCACTACTATTAAAACCAGGTGTGTAGAGCATGTGCTGTAAAAAAGGGCAGAAGATGACATGGCTGACTTAACTAGACAGGAATAGTAGCCATTTTCCACAACAGGACTACTAGTGTTTGGCATCAGGTCGTTCTGTGCTCTAGTTTCTAAAAGATTGTATCAAAAGGAAGCATTTTTTACAAGCCATTTTACATATAATTCCTTCTTTCATCTTGGAACTAAGTAAAAAGAGAGCCGTTTCTGACTCAAAACAGAGTATCTGTAATTCCAGAGCTCACTTTGGCATCTTGACACTGTACAAGCCTCTATTTGGACAAGTTGGTACCCTTCTCAAGCCTTACTATTGTGGAGTTGGCAGAAAATGCTATGGAAATTACCTGCAAGGAAATAACCTTCCCTCCCCAGCTATGCATTCTCTTCTGTCAGAAGACTCAGTTACACAGATTTTGAGCTCACCATTTTTGAGCTCAACAACACCACCAGGAAAAGGTTCCAAAGCAAGATTTAGAACTATTTGTTGCTTGAGCACCGCTTCTCTTATAGCCTCCATAAATTCAAATCATGACCATGCTCCTGGCCTGCCTACAGGTATAACAAAATTTACTTCTGCATATATCATGCAACATAGCTGCATTTTCCACAGAATTTGTTGAAGAACAATACCTTTACAAGAATTATAGGGTGACAGATCACCATAGCAAATAATTTTCAAACAGCAAAAATTAGTTGATAAGTGGTATCGTATAATCCAACATACCTTTCTCTGTAAAGGTCTTTCAGGTAAGTCTTGTGGCCCCTGACAAGAAAAGAGCCATCAGAGAGATGGTTGATTTGGGTACCAGGCATGGACAAAATATCACTGAAATTTTACATTATCTAAAGAAGTCCCTGACTTTCACATATACTGGATAACCCACCTACGCACATTCTTAAGATCTTACTCCTTCTGCCATTGTGGTTTCAGAGACTTTAATTCTGTCAGCCATTCTTCACTCTAGAAGAAGGTACTAGACTGTGATTCTTGTATTACAAATGGTACTGCTGGAGGGTTTAGTGGTGAAAATGATGGCTTCTGAAAGGGTAGTTGCCATGTCTTATATTGTTAGCTTGGCTGCAACCTGCACTGAGACCTTCTAACTTTTCTGAGCTCCTGCTATTTCTGACTGTACTCTTTGCCTGTTTCAGAGGTGTTGAGCACAAGCTAATCTGGCACAGCAGTATCCCTTAGTATGTAAACATTGGCTCCCTGTTGGGACCTCAGCTACAGCCTTGCATAAAGAAACATGTAATGTTCAAGTGTGGTTGAAACAGACAGACACAGGGCTGTAGGGCAGCAGTGTGCCACACTTTTCAAGAGCAGCATAAGAAGACCTGAGGTACGTGGCTTGGTAGAAAGCAGCTTGTACCAGACACTGAACAAGCAGGAAAGAAAAGAGTGCTCTTGTGGGCTGGTAGGAAGACTTACGAACATGAGGACAAAGTGAGGATGGTGTGAAAGAGGTAGGAACAGGTGGGTTGGATAAGTGACTTGGAGTAGGGTTGCAGAACGCTGTGGAAACACACAGTAATAAGAGTTAATGCAGTTTACGGATCCTAATGCCTGGTGTTCCAGTGGAACCTTCTGGAGTGTGGGTTCCAGACATGTGTGACTGCAGCCATTGGGGGGGCTGTTGGTGAGTCAGACAAGATGCAATAAAGCAAGGAAAGGGGACTCAAAAAATAAACTGAGAGCTGCATAAAGCTTTTTGACATTCATGGTACTTTCACAGCAGTCCTTACTGCCTTTTGGCTCTTTACTGACCACTTCTCTGTCTTGTAATTTTCCTGCTAGGTCATATATACCACAATCCCAGCAGAAGCCCACATGCTAGACTGAGATTTGCCATGACATGCACTATTTCTGGAGGACTAATGAAACTTGTACCTGGAAATGTGCACTACTATAGGTGATTTATGAAGGAGAAAACCAGATTTACATTGAAGCTTGAACTGTGCTACTTGAGCCATATTTTGGATGAATCCTTTCATTTGGGGTACAAGGATATTGTGTCTATCTTGGGAACTAAGCACAGGAGAATGGATTGGGCCTGCAGGAGCATCAGGCTTGTTTGCATCTGCACTTCTGTGGCTGTTTTGCATGTTGGTTGTATTTATTGTCTGAGGAGAAGGCCGTTTCTCCGTTACCCAGCCCCATAGCCTTGTTTCCCTGCTGTGGTGAGAGTCCTGGCAGCTGCCCTGGGATGCTCCAGGCCCCACAGGACGCTGGTGGCGGGTGTGGGGCCCACAGGCCCCACAGACCTCACAGCCCCACAGCTCCATGCCCCACAGACCCCGCAGCCCTATGACCCCAAAGACCCCACAGACCCCACGGCCCTATGGCCCCATAGATCTCACAGCCCTATGGCCTCACAGACCCTGCAGTCCCCATGGCCCCACAGCTGTGCGGCTGCCACAGGCCTGTGCACGCGGACAGCACACGGAGCACACCTTGGGTAACTTTATGGCTTTTTGGGGACCACGCCAAGGGCTGCCAGCTCCTGCTGAGAAGGAAAATGACAAGCAGGTAGCAGGCATGGGCATGGGTGCAACCGTGTGGCGTCGGTGGCCTTTGTTTTTAGTGGTTTTTGGCCAGCATGCTGCCGTGCCGTGAGACGTGAATAGTGTCATAGGCAGCCATAGGTGTCACAGCCTCTGTTCCTGACTTACATCCAGAGCTCTTTGTGGGGATATTTGTGCCAAAGCTGCCATTTGAGGTAATGGGATTTAATAATAATTTTTCCATGTACATTTGTAGCTGGTTTTACTACATGTAAGGTGTCCTAAGCATGTAATTATTTAATAGCTTCCAAAG